ATATGTTTTTGTCCTGTGAATTTGTCATTTTTCACATGTAAAAGTCCTATTTTCTGTTACTAGTGGAACACATGCCTATATAATTCCTCACTTTTTATTCCCTTATTTTTTAATTGTGCTTTATCATCAATATGGATGCGGTTATGAAAGTGCCCAACTCTAGGGAAATGCTACTTGTGATTGAAGAGTCAACACAGGAAGAATGTGATTCTGTGTCAGATATTCAGTTAACATGTCTTGGTACCTGAATCTTTCTGGCTCTAGAGAGCATTCCAAAACCAAATTATAAGTACATGTTTCAGGATTCTTGGACACAGAGGAATGACAATGCATTCTACCATACTTTTCCTTTCTGGCTTTTTCATAGCCAGATGAGTATGACCAGGGTAACATATGCTTGACTGATCCGTAGTGGCTGTAAAGGTCTATAGGGACTGAAGCCTCCCTGCACAGACTGAGTTAGTTTTCAGATTGATCAGATTTATGCCAGGTGCTGGATTGCAGCCCAGACAGCAATGAGTTACTTGAAGATACTTGTACACCTCCCAGACAGCCTCACATCATATAGTCCTTTGCTGTACCAGGGAATTGGGCCCTTCAGCTTTAAAAGCTGGGAGGGTTTTTCTCCCATACATAAGTTGATGACAGATACCACATTGATCATAGTTTCAAAAAACTTTTGTTTTTTGTATTTTTGTTTCACTGCTTTAGGAGAAGAGCTATGATTTTTACACTTAAGCTTTTTGAATGTTTCTTTATATGTGATAGTATATTAATGCAATGTAAATGAATATAATGTACTTGAAAGTGGTTATATTAGCCTACATGGATAGTTCAATGTGTGGAGCAAACAAAAAGTCAATTATTTTTTAAAAGTACATAATTACACATATTAGTTGTCAAATATGACTGCAAAGGAATCCTGATGTCAGACCAGCCAGGCAAAATAACTTTTCAAGTGAGCGCTTTTTTAGAATTAATAAAATGTTTATAACTTTTTATGGTGCAATCTATACCTAAGAATGGTGATACTGGGTCAGGCCAAGGGTTCAGGCCTTATATCTGGCCTTCTGATAGTGTCTCTTGTCAAATGATTCATATAGAATAAACAAAACAGGGCAACTTTCAAGTGAGTCATCCTCCATTATCCAGTCCAAGCTTCTGGCAGTCAGAGTGTCAGGGTATGTCTACATTTGCACCCTCTTTCATTTGCAAATGAAGCCGGGATTTAAATATCCCACTCTTCATTTGCATATATGCATTATAACACTATTTTGAAATAGCGCTATTTCGAAATAACAGACGCTGTTAAGATGCGGTTATTTTGAGAGAAACCCTTCTCTCAAAATAACCCTTATTCCTCATACAATGAGGTTTACCAGTTATTTCAAGAGAAGGGTTTTCTCTCGAAATAACCGCATCTTAACAACATCTGTTATTTCGAAATAGCGCTATTTTGAAATAGCGCCATAACGTGAATATGCAAATGAAGTACGGGATATTTAAATCCCGGCTTCATCTGCCATTTAGAATTCTTCATTTGCATCCCTCTCTCGAAAGAGGGTGCAAGTGTAGACATACCCTCAGAGGTGTAGTGACACCCAGGGTATAGTGTTGCTTCCCTGACCATCTTGGATAATAGCCACTTGTGGAACCATGAGCATATCTAATTCTCTTTTGAACCCAGTTACACTTTTGGCCTTCTACTTCTCCTAGCAATGAGTTTCCTAAGTGGATTGTGCGTTGTGTGAAGTACTTCCTTTTGTTTGTTTTAAATCTGCTGCCTTTTAATTCAATTGAGTGAATGGATCTTGTGTTATATGAAAGGGCAAATAATGTCACAATTCACTTTCTTCACATGATTCATTATTTTATGGACTTCTGTCATGTCCCCTATTGACCCTCTCTTTTCTAAATTTAATAATTTCCTAGCTTTTAAATATGTCCTCATCTGGAAGCTGTTCCTTATTCTTAACCATTTTGTTGCCCTTCTGTATACTTTTTCCTATTCAAATATCTCTTTTTTTGAGAAGGGGTAACCAGAATTATTACAGGCATGCAAATAACATTTATGCGTATAGTAGCATTATTGTATTTTCTGTCTTATTATCTGTCTCTTTTCTAATAGTTCCTAAAGTTGTAAATGATTGCAACAGCAAATTGAGCTAGTGCTTTCAAATAACCTTTTTAGTTATTTTTTATTACATATGGCATATCTCATCTAAATAGCAGCCTTGTATTGTCCACTGAGGATAAGACTGCAATGCAGGAAATACAACTCCAGTTGTTACACTGACTCTTGCATTGTTGCCAATGCACAAGTGATTCACAAGTCTTGTAATTTGGGGTGTTTTCCTTTGACTCTGTTTTCATCTTTTAAAAGATGAAACTCGAGACTTCTTTGGCAAAAAGCTTGAAAATGTGATCCTTACAACATCAGAATCTTGAAGACAAATCCAAAAGAACCTACCTTTTTTTTAAAAATTCTGGTTTTTAAACCAATCTCATTATTTTGGGAGCATTATTGATGATTTTGGAATGCTGAGACTGGCAAAACTCTTTACTCTTTTGTTTATTTTTTTCTCGTTGTAAAATTAGTATAATAATAATTGGTGGTAAAAGAATGTTTGTTCATTTTCTGTGGAAATAATGTCCCTGGAGTTTGGGAAATGAAAATGAAATTGTTGATATTGTTACAAGATTTGCAATGTGTAAAGCTTTGAGTAAATATTAAATATGTGTACATACTAAAGGGTCATTTTTATTAGGGCTATCAAGAAGACTGTATTTCATAACCCAGCCCCAGGTCTAAGCAGCCAGAGTAGACATTTGATGGATGCATATGAAGCCTAATGGGTGAAACAACAGATATGGGGAGCTTTTGTGACATGTGGAGGTGGAGAATGGGAGGATTCATGCAGCTGTAAGTCCTACAGCTTCATCTGATCCTATGCCCAGCTTCCATTTACCACTTTTGTGTGCTGCCATGCACAGCAGGAGCAAATATGCCCCTTCTTCTTTCATATGCAGACATCTCACAGATGGGCGGTGAAACCACCTGAAGACCTGCCCAGGGAAGAGTGGACGGCATTTGCCATATGCCAAATAGTAACATAAATAAACTATAATGGTATAAAGCACCTTTAGACAGACCCCTATCTGTACTAGGAGATACTGGTTTATCTATTTTGGTTACAAAACCCCAACATATTTAAGTAAGTTGTATTAATAAAAAACTGTGAAGACAGAAGTTAGTCCCCTGTGTCTGTCAAACAGACCACTCTACCCACTCACGCAATGGCAGATCATGAATAAAGTTTAAAGTTTAGGAACGTGAAAGCTGGAAAAAACGGGAAGGCAACATAGACAGAAGGCCTGTGAGAAAAAATAAAAGCAGCCACAAGGTAGCTAGCTAAAAACTCATGCAATTTCAAGCTTCTTAATAGCATTTGGGACAAATGTTATCACCAGCAATCATTCTGGAGAAAAATTGAGTACTGAGACCCTAATCAGGGAAAGTTCATAAGATTTCTTGGTTCTTCTTTTTTCACATTTCCTTTCTTCAACAGTCATAGTGTCCTTATTCCAACATAGTGATAGAAATGTAGCAGTGTTAGTCTGGTGTAGCTGAAACAAAATACAGGACTATATAGCACTTTAAAGACTAACAAGATGGTTTATTAGATGATGAGCTTTCGTGGGCCAGACCCACTTCCTCAGATCAAATACGATCCATCATCTATAGCCAAGCCCTTCGATACAACCGCATCTGCTCTAATCCCGCAGACAGAGACCAGAAACTTCAGGATCTCTACCAAGCATTTATAAACCTCAACTACCCACCCGGAGAAATAAAAAAGCAAATTGAAAGAGCCAAACGAATACCTAGAAACCATCTACTACAAGACAGACCCAAGAAAACCAACAATAGAACACCACTTGTCATCACCTACAGCTCCCAACTTAAACACATTATTAATAGATTACAACCTATACTGGAACAGGACACTAAACTCCAAGAAGCTCTGGGAGACAGCCCCATAGTCTCCTATAGACAACCACCTAACCTCAAGATGATTCTTACCAACAACCAGAGGACATACCACACTAATACCAACCCTGGTACTTTCCCTTGCAACAAACACCACTGCCAGCTTTGTCCACATATTCACTCTGCTGACACCATTATTGGATCTAACCAAGTGAGTTATAAGATCGAGAACACACATTCCTGCGCCTCCAGAAATATAATCTATGGTATCATGTGCCGGAAGCGTCCGTCTGCTATGTACATTGGACAAACGTCTCAGACACTTCGCCAAAGAATCAATGCCCACAAAACAGACATTAGACAGGATCACAAAGAAAAAACAGTTGCTTGTCATTTCAACCAGAAAGGACACTGTCTCAATGACCTGCTAACCTGCATCCTACTTCAGAAGACATTCAAATCTGCACTTGAAAGGGAATCCTCTGAACTGGCATTCATGCTAAAATTCGACACTCTCCGCAGGGGACTTAACAAAGACTCCAGCTATCTTACCCATTACAAAGATAGCTTCCCCAATTATCACCTCTAATACTATTAACTCACAGACATCTCCCCTTCCCCACCTCTAATATCATTAACTCACTGGCATTCCCCTTCCTTCCCTTCCCCCCCCCCCGCATCCCCCTTCTGTTCTGAAATGTGATTTGTCCTTTTCATATGTATTCATTTTTTTTAAATTGTATCCTTTGGTATATATGGCTGTGACTATTTTCTTCCACTATTTGATCTGAGGAAGTGGGTCTGGCCCACGAAAGCTCATCATCTAATAAACCATCTTGTTAGTCTTTAAAGTGCTACATAGTCCTGTTTCTTATTCCAACATGTTCTTTAAATCATCAATATGAGGTTTATTGCATAGATTTATTTCAGTTTAGCAAGAAAATATTTATTTTATGCAATTTACTTATATGAAAATGAATGCATACTTAGTTTATTTTTTTTCTTTAAGGTGGCTAATCTTGCTTGTTCACTGTCAACCAATGAAGATGGAATAAAAATTGTCCAAATGGCAGCTAATCACATAGAGACTTTGTGCCCACAGGTATGTCTCTTTCAATCAATTCCTATCACAGGGCACAATGTGTAACCCATTTATAGTATAAACTGTATGCTTGTTTACTCCCAAAAATTCAGGCGAAAACAGTAATTAGACAGGAAAGGGTAACTTTAGGGGAAAGTATTCAGTTATTCTATTTTTACTATTTGTAAGAGATTGAAACAAAATTTAGCTGACAATCTATATAGACTGACAACATTAAATAATTTGGAAATACATATTCTGACTAGAATAGCGAAAGCAAGAGTGAGTTTGAAGACGATGGATAAGATCTGGAAAAGTAAAGCAATTAGCTTAGGAACGAAGCTGAGCATCTTGAAAACGTTTGTATTTATCAGCATGTTGTATGGATCTGAGACATGGGTGATAACATAAGATTCATAGAGAAGGTTATTGGCATTGAAGAGGCGTTGTTATAGAAAGATCCTGAGAATAAGATGGATGCAGAAGGTCATCAATGAGGAATTATATAGGATGATAAAGCCAAAAGAGAATCTACTGCAGAAAGTTATACAAAGGAAGTTACAGCTATTCGGGCATATCTGCAGAATGAACGATGAGTGAAAAGTTAAGACTCTGGTATTCGGCATAATGGATGGCCTGAATAGGAGAGGCAAACCCCACAGAGAATGGGTAGATTATATAGTAGATCGGTGCAGAGCTAGTCTACAGAAACTATGCCACTCCGCACTGGACAGGGAAAGATGGAAGGAAATAGTGAGGGAGGCATTGGACACCAACGGGCTTTGAGCCCATGGTTGTTGATGATGCTGATGAATAAACTATGCCAATCCTGGAGCTTGACTGGAGAGTCTCTTTGCCCATTTTAACCTGTGCATATTTTTATTTCATTTTGAAACATTTCTATATTTTTAATTTTTTTTAATCTTCATTTGGGAGCTCGTTATTGTCTCCACTGAAAAAATATGGGGCTTTTTTGGTGGGAGGAGCACAAATAAATGACAAGCAGCAGAACAGCAAGTACATTTTCCCCAAGAATATTAACATAAAGGAAGAAATATGCATTCAGTATATTTGTAGACTTTAATGTGAGTATAGTATCCTGTTAGAATTTCCCAATTTCACTTTCAGTTTATTTCATCTCCTCTATTAAAAGCAATCCATACACATTTCTGTGAGCAGAATGAGTGGATCAGCCTTGAAGCTGTGTTAATTCAAGAAGGTTAGATTTTTAAAATCTTTAAAGAACAGCACAGCTGATGCAACACCCTTAATGTTCTTCTCTTTTAACATTGTTTGAAAGATTGCTGTAGTTGAAATGGGAAACTAAAGAACAAAGATTAAAAGTATTTGCTGTTACGTGATCAAGAGATCTGTTCTCTCAGTGCACATTTAACACATTTTAGAAGCTTGGAATGCACATAAAGACTATTAAATAGACATATGTCAATAATGGCATGTGTCCTACAAGCAGAACACTTTCATTTGAATCTACTGTATTGCGCTGTGGATATTTTCGTAATTATTTACAATTCAGTGTTGTTCAGCCCATTGTTTTTGCTGGCATTGATTATTATTGCTAAATGTGCATGTTCAGTTTGTGACCACATTGTTACTCCAAATAAAAAATGTAAGTTTGTGATGCATTATTCTGTTTCAGGGTGTATGTTCCTTTTCTAAAGAGAGACGCATAGTCTGAGTATAGTATTTGGAGCCAGTAACACCTGCGTCCTAATTCTGGCTCAATGCACTGTGGCAAGGCATTTAACTTGCCTATATACCAAGTTCCTATCAGAGAAATGGCAATAATATTTACCTCTCAGGGATATTTTGAGTATGAATTATTGTTAGACTTACTATTATTATGTCTATTATTACTGTGATTGATCATCATTTTCAAGTAAAACAAAATAAAGTAAAACTGAGAAACGTGCCAAATAAGTATTGTCAATCTTTTATTAATATTACAGAGTTGCAGAATTTATTTTTCTCTAACTAAGGCAACATTCCTAATGAAAGCAATGCATATTTTACCTGAGTAAGGACTAAGAGCAGCACAGTTAGTTCTATGAGTTTTAATAATGACCCAGACCATATGTTATCATAAAAAAAAGGCTCCAAAAAACACCCTCCAAATGGGGAAAGAATGCTCTGAGAATCCCTGGAAGTAATAGATCAGCATGCAGAATGTCTCCTATATACTTGAATTCCTGTGTGTGTGTGGGGAGGGGGGGGGAGGTTACAAAATTAACTTTTGGATTGTTTTTACCATTATGCCATGTAGGCATTTCCTTGTATAAGCTACATTATTTGATGGGAACCATGCTAGTTGAATTGAAATCTGAAACGGCTGAATTAAAAAAATCCTTGGGGTCTCAGAGTGCTGCAGGTTTGAACAGTAACATTTTCCATATTATACTGTGAAAATCTAGACATAGAATTTACAAACCTCAAAGGAAAATCTGAATAATATTAGAATTCATAGATATAGACTCATAGGTTGTCCTACACTGCAGCCAAAATCCTGAACCATGGTGACAATACTGTTATTCAAAAGGAGACGGTAAGGATATATTTTAATATTGTTCAGACATTAAACAAAATGAATTGTGGCTCTACTTCAGAACAGATAGTATTGCTGTTTACATAATTCCAGTATGAATTATGTTCCTTCCCTGATATTTTATGTGGAAGATCTCTTCAAAAAACGTTTAATGTAGATAGATGTCATCATTAGGATAGCAAATAATTAAATAGCTTCAAATAAAAAAGAACTACTTTTCTTGTTAGTCGTTGTTTTGTATTTGCACTAAATAATTCTTTTGCAGACATTGTACAGGCTCAGAAAAAAATCAAATAGCGATTAAACTTCTACATAGCAATTACATGCAATTTTCTTGTATATAGTGAAAAATGTGAAATTGCCACATGTGGGAAATAGTCCCCTTTTATGTTGCAGAGATGAAATTTGACAGAAAATGTCCTTATTCAATCTTCCTTTTTCTGCCTCACTTCTCACACTTCAAAGGCTCTCAGATTTCTCTACAGATGTTCCTCTTAGACAGAACAATGGAGACAGAGACCCTCTTACAGATGGAGACTAAACTATTCAGAAATGGGAAGAAGTTAGAAGATTGGAATTTCACTAACCGCATTAGAGAAAACCGTGCTAAATGAAAGTACTAAGATATTGGAGTGGGAGAAGGTTGAGTTCCCTTACTTCTAGGTTCTTGCCATTTCTTATTCTACTTTCCCCCTCCACTGGTAGCTGAAACAAGGAATCTGTCCTGCAAAATTGGTCACAAAGGGCATGTGACCTTTCTTTCAGTTTCGAAGGAAGATGTGCAAATTCAGTGCACATTCGCATATCTCTTTCAGATCACTTTTTCAAAAGAGGTTCTTTCAAAAAAGAAAGTAATCTAGACATGGTTCTTTCAAGAAGAAAACCCTTTTTCGAAAGAATCATGTAAACCTCATTTTTTTAGGAAGAACGGTTCTTTCAAAAAAGGTTTTTTTTTCTCAAAAGAACCATGTCTAGACCACTTTCTTTTTCAAAAGAACCTTTTTCGAAAAAGTGATTGGAAGAAGATATGCAAATTCATGCCGAATTTGCATATCTTCTTTTGAAAGTGAAAGCAAGTCTAGACGTGCCCTAAGAGGAGTCAGGCTGAATTCTTGTGATTTTTCCTGTCTGTCTTCTATGGGAGAAAAGTCTAAAAGGGGTAGTTGTGTTAGTCTATATCTGCAAAAATGATGTGGATGCCCTGTCTCACCATAGAGACTAACAGATTGATTAGGGCATAAGCTTTCATGAGTAAAACCCATTTTCATCAGATGAACTGGAATAGAAACTATAGACGCAAGGATATATATTTTGTATTAATGAAACTAATCAAGTCAGAGTGGAAGTGACTCATTCACAGCATTTGGTGTGGACACGTGAATATATAGAGGGGAAATTGCCATTATAATGTGTTAGCCAGGTAAGATCCTTATTCAATCCTAAATGTATTGTATGGAATTTGCAAATGAACTTCAGTTGAGCTGTTTCCCTCTGTAATCAAGTTTAAATCCTTGGACATTCCATAATGCATTTGTTGACAAAGAGCCAGTGTTGACTCTGGTGTTTGTTTTGTTGACAGAACTGGCTTCCGCCAAGATTCCACAATGCCTGCACTGATCACTCTGGGTTTTGATCTCTGCCGCCCTGCAGACATGCACCTCTTCCCTTTCAAAGCTCTAAGAAGTATCTGATAACCCAGTGTGCTCTTTGTTTGGGAAACAAAGAGCAAATCATTGGAATGCTTCTGTTCTGCCCTGCAGTAGGAACAGCGCCCCAGCAGACTTGCTGAAGGGGGACAGACTGCTATGCTGCTTAGACATTCCTCAGCATGGAGAGCTCTCAGAGCTCGTATGTTACCAGCAGCTGAGAAGGCTGTGGGAGAACTCTGAGGGCATCCCAAGATGTGCAGGGATGAGGTCTGCCTTCCCAAAACACTGCACTGTGGGATACACGTGCACTGTTGGTGATGGTGTCCCCAGTGTGGACATGATCAGCCAACAGAAGAAGCAAGTATGAATACCCCCTGGCAATTTTTGTTTAGTCAACATAATTTTGTCTTCCAGATTTGTAGTGCAGACATATCCTCAGTCTCTGCCCACGTGCACAAAGTAAGAAATTGCATGAAAGTTTGAATTAATATTTTTTCCTAATATTTTACATTTCCATGGCAATACTTTTAATATAGTTATGACTTTCACCTAGGCTATTTCTCGGTTAAATAGCCTTATCAGAACACAGCTTCTTAATTTGAAGTCCCCAGACGGGAGTAGATAGACACTTGACATTTTGTTCACAAGCTCGTAAATTTATCTTCTGTAAGTTTTCTGTTCTTCTAGTCAGCTTATCATTCCTCTAGATATGTGGGGATAAAATGAAAAAAGCAGTATGAATAGGATATCTCTTAGAATCCTAGAACTGGAAGAGACCTCAAGAGATCTTCGAGTCCAGTCCACTGTCCTCA